GAAAATCCAACAGGAGCAGGAATGGAAAGGGGGGTGGGGGGTGACGGGACCCCCGCCCCGGGAGGCGCAGCGGGCTGGGAAGCGCCGTCCTCGCTCCCATCCCTGCCATCGGAACCGGCCCTGGGGCGGCCGTGGGGGAGCACAAGGAGCTCCGAGGGTGGGGGGACACAGTTCCCGAGCCTCTGCTCGGTCCCCCGGTGCCCCCACGACCCTTCGCTGCGTTTCCACGGCCACCGGTGGCCGAGCCCCGGGGGCCGGCGGGGGGTGCCCGGAGGAGCCCCCCGAGAGCGGCCCCAGCCCCGCAGCACCGACCCCACCGAGCTGGGGGGGGTCCGGGACGGGGCGGGGGATCGGGGGGGCACCGGCGGTGTCACCGCCCTGCCCGTCCACCGGGATGTTCCAGGGAGCCGCCTCGCACCGGGATCTCTGCGGGCCTGGGAAAGTTGAACAGGGAAACGTCAGAGAGCATCAGGCAGGAATTTCGGTGCATCCCGTGTTTTATGGCGGTGTGAACTTTTGCATATCGGGAGTAATTAGCAGCGAGGCTGTTAAAAGCAGATTTAAATACACCACCCCCTCTCCCTCTTCCCCCCCCCCGCCTTTTCTTTCCTGGTCCAAAATGGTCCAAATCCGGTTTACCTCTGACACAACCCCCACCGGGACAGAGGTGAGAGCACAAACCCCACGGTTTGTCCGTGTCGGCAGGAAAACACATAAACCCCCACATATTAATTAACACGTCAATTAAAATAAATATAATTTTGCTACGGTTATTTTTGGTTCGTCCTCCCCCCCCCAACTTTGTTTTACTAAAGCGGGGAAACATACACAGAAACCTTCCTTGCAGTAGATGCCTTTTTTTTTTTTTTTTTTTTTTTTTTTTTTTTAAACGGAGCCCAGATGCTGGTCAGGATTAAGGTTACACCAAACACATTCTACATTGCCATTTTCCAAACAGAATAAAGCAGATGGAAAAGACGGAAGAGGATAAAGCAGGAACGGAGCAGCCCTGAAAACTGCAAGCCCTGCACTAACGCTGGAGAGGAGTGAGCTGGGATGCCAGGAGAGGCAGAAAGAAAGAACCCAGGCGTAGCAACGCTGCATATCACATTCCTCACGGTTAAAATGAGGATCTTTAATTAAACAGCTGTCAGAATTTGGGCTTTAAACCTTATATTTAAAATGGGAAAAAGGAAATTCAGCTGCAGCCGTACACTGTGTCTCCTTAGGGCTCAGTCCTAGGAGATGTGAAAGCCACTGGCCGGGGGCCATCAGAGTACTTAAGTCTCTGTGTAATTTTAAACATCAGCAGTCCCGGTGATTTTCAGGATATACTCCCTTAAAGTTAGCCACGGACTCAGCACTTTGCAGGATCCGCCCAGCAGACTCATAGCAGCTCAGAGCTGGAGAACATGAGTATCTGCACATCTGAGAAACAGAGAAAAATCTTCTTTTCAGCGGGCTAAAGATTTTTCTTTTATTTCTAAAGGACACCAGTTCGTCCGTGCTGGGAAGTTGGATCAAACTGGAATAAAATCTTGAGGGGGAGTTCACTGAATCCGTGCTGGTTCATAAAATACCACCATGTGGCAAACCCAAATTTTAGGTGAAATGCTACAGTGGTGTAGTTTACTCAGCACTGTGACTCAATCCCATGATGTGCCTTGAAAATCTCGTGCAAAACCTGATTTTAAGATGTTTTGTTGGTGTTATATAGGCACACCCACGATACAGAGAAAGAACATGCAAACTATTAAATATTCATGCTATGGGGAGAACACTTAGTAGCGTCCCTTCATTCCAGCTGTACAAAGGCAGGCACAAATAGCTGGTGGGAAAACGAGTAAACCAAACCAACCCCAATATTCCACTTAAACAAGGTGTTGAGCAGCTTGGAAACATTTGCTCACGGAAGGGTCGGAGAGAAATTCTAATTATCTGCCTTTCAGCAGCCACCCATAAATGTGTATTTCACAACCTGAGTTCTGTACTCAACCCACATGGGGAGCATTAGGGATTCACATTCACACACGGGGTCTGTGTGTGGGGATGGGACCCATTTTCTGCTCGAGGCCTCCACCCCCATCGACCTCAAATGCACGTGGCCTCAAAGTCAGATTCTGAATGTCACGAGTTGGTACCTCAGTGACATTTACTTAGAAACTAAAAAATTCAAACACATTCTGACCAGCTTGGCTGGAACTTTCAGAGTTCAGCTGTGGGACTGTGAAACGAGGTCATTTTTATCTATCAGTTATCTCTGACTTGAGAGGGGCCAAGGTGATCACACCTTGGCAATAGCTCTGCTTGTAAAGGCTGGGCATAACACATGAATTTTCAGTAAAACCAAGGCATTGGTCAGAACTTCCTCTGTAAAACATGCTGAAGAATCATAAAAAAATACATAATTTTCAAATATTTGGAAAAATATTGAGTATATCTGGCAAACCCCTGAAAAAACAACGCCAAAAAACCACCCCAAATCCAAACATTTAATTGGATAGAATTGGGTACCTGAGTGAAACCTGCTCAGAAAGATTCCTGTTCAGTTTAGCTGTTAGAAAAGAGTGGAATTAACTACACGACAAAACAAAGCATTTAAAAATATGACTTTTCCCCAGCTGCAGGAAACATCGTGGCTGACCTCGGTTTTCCCGTGCCGTGGGTTCATGAGGGCACTGAGGGCACTGGAGCCTTCCCTACGTAATCCTGACCCTCTGGATTCACTGTCTTCCCATTGTTTTGTTTACTTTGTCTATTCTTAGGGTGTATTTTGTTCAGGACTACCTCATGCACGAGTGCAGAGTCCCCAGCACACTCCAGTTTCTGTTTAAATAAAGCTGAAGCAGCACAAGGAACAGAAGTTCTGCATGTCAGTGACCAGCCACTGGCACTTATCAACAGTCCCACAGAATAACAGACCCTGGACCCAGCTATCATTGCTTAAGAACCTTCTCAGTATCATTATTTTTTGAAGAACTTTGCAATTCGTTACTTTTTCCTGCATCCACAGTCGTGACAAAGCATCTTTCTTTAAAAAGGCAAAAATACCAAAGAAAAAAACCCCACCAACAAGCAAAACCCAATCAAAACATGAAGCCTTATAGTTGAGTTGTGATGCAAATGAGAGGGTTTTTTTTTCTACCACTTCTAGAAGTACAAAAATAATCAAAAATTGGCATCATATTATGGGGAGAAAGGAGAAAAAACCACCCCAAAATCAATACAAATACCTGGAAAGTAAGTCCAGACAACTGAAGGCTAATTAACCTGACCTCAGCAAGATGCAAAATGTAAATTATTTTTCCTCTGGAGGGGGCAAAGATGTAGAGGAAAGTAAAGAGATAAAATGCAAAAAAAAAGGTTTAACACAGGCAATCATGCCAGACAAAGCTGATGTCTCTCTTTGATAAGGAAGCAGATTTTTCTGGGTAAAGGAAGACACAGTTGATCTCACAGCCCCCAAAATCAGTAGAGTGTTTGGTCTGGTGCAACATCTGAAAATACAAGTTAAATTGGAAAATAGGAAGATTAGTGCAAGAAAAGTTTTCTGGGTAAAAAAAATGACTAAAAAACCAGCGCTGGGTTGTGCTGAAATGGGAACTTCTGGGCTAAGGATTGAGTGCTTTGAAAAGCTTCTGCTCTCAGATCTGGTGCTGTGATTGGCTTCAAGTGACACAAGGAACTGGGAAAAGAGCCTTAGTACAGATAGTTACTGACAAATTCAAAAAGCATCAATGCAGAGGACTGGAATATCCTAAATGAAGAACTGGATGAGGTTCTGGAACAGCGCAGGAATCCTGAGGAATGGACTGGTGGAATGCAGTAATAAGATTAATGCAAATCACAAGGCTGTTCACGCAGGGACTGACAGCCAAAACTCTTGTAAACTGGGAATTCATCACAGCTAACAGGGAAGGGTGAAGACTCAGAAGCGTTATTTAGTCACAGGAATGAAGATGACAGGTGAGATCTGAAGAGCAGGTAAGGCACATCCAGATGTTACGGCTCTCTTACAGAATTTTGGGTACAGCTTCTAGTCGAGAATGACATGTTGAAAGCTGGGATAGTCACAGAAAAGGCTCCCTGAGCCGGTTATGAGAGCAGAGAATCTGTCAGGAGAGAAGACTGAAGCCTCATTTCAGCAAACTCCAACAAAAGAAAGGGAAGAGAGGACAGGGTGAGTCCCTATACATAGGTTATGGCTTGAACACAGGTATTTAAACTCAAGGGTTATGTTGGCACCAAATATATGTCTAAAGGCCTGAGTGCAATTAAGCTGATTGCTAGAATAGAATGTCTTATTATTAGAAAAACTAGGTTTTAGAGAATCCTTCCAGTGGGGCTCTCAGGCTGGAAGGGACTTACTGTTTTTATGCTGGAGGTTGATGTCCTTATGGATGAAGTGGGATACAATTTCCTCAAAATCCTGGTGTGAGGCAGCCAACAGAGACTCCTAAAGCCCAGTGTGAGGAAACTCCAAATTAGAGGAAATAACCAGCACCAGCAGCCCCCCTGAAAGCTCTTCTGCAACCTGGTGAAGAAGATATTCACAATTAATTTACTGGGGCTGGTTGGAAGTTGGTTTATTGTCACTCTGGAACATACAGGCACAGTGGAGAACTTTGAAAGTTTTGCCATTAATTTCCCTACTTTGCATCAGTGAAATGAGAGGAAAACCTCTGCAACATTGTGAAAAAACATGTATGGTGGTTAAAAAGTATTCAGACACTATAGTGATAAGCACAACGAAAATCCATTGCAATTAGTGATTCTGTATTTACTGCAGCAGTTGAATTACATGCAATAAATAAAATATGGAAGCAAACATCAAATAACAAGGATAAAAGAAAACTCTGAATGAGACGAGTTTGAGAAGGCAGGTTGTATGATTTAATTTATAATTAGGGACTGCATCACAGTGCAAGGAACTGGATTAGGATGGGCAAAAGTGTAAGGAATGTACACAGGAAAATTGAACACACCAGTCAGTCCCCTGGTAAATTCATCCCGGTCACAGGAGCGTGAAGAAACATGGAACACAGAGAGAATTAATGTGGGCCCTGGAGTAGGGACCAGCTCAGCACATTCCCTGTGTCAGACAGTGCTTGGAGAACTAAGCAGTGATCCTTGTGGAGCTGAGCCTGCACACACTGTCACCTCAGGAGAGAGGGGTCCTCTGCCTCTGCAGGGAACTGTTGGAAAACCAGGACTTTCTAGGGGTACAGCTTTCCAAAAATCCCAAAGGGCTGTGCCTTCCAGAAGCTCACACCACAGGTCTGGCTTTTCTAAGGGTCCTTTGTTTCTATCATAAATAACACTCCAGGAACATGGATCACCTGTGTCTTCCATCTCAGGACTCTTCATCTCTCCACACAGAACGTACCTGCTCTGGCAACATAGCAACAAACCATGGCTGCCCTTCTTGGGATCTCCTGTTCTCGACTGTCTGAGCCCCGGGGAGGTTTTCCATGATTTCAAACACACAGTGTTCCATGCTGGCAAAGGCTCCTTCCTTGGGTCTGCCACCTCTTCATCTTTCTGTAAACAATAACATGCACTAGCACAGAGCCAGAAAGCATCTTCTCCTTTGGGGTTTTCCTTTTTTTCTTTCCTTTTTCTGCAATTTCTCTTTTTCTCAGTGTTCTCACCAGAGGACACCTCACGGCCACCAATTGTATCTTCATGTCATCCATGTCTGGGAGCAAACCAGGATCCCAGGACTTTTCTGCTGTTGTTTTCTTCTTTCTTCAAATGCCTTTCAGATTTAATTCTGGTTCACCTCACCTCTAGGGACTCTATTATTTTTAAAAAGGGCCATTAACTAATTATTCTGCTTGTCTTGTTAATGAGAGAGTGAAACATTTAGCAAGAAAATGATAATCTAAGACCCGTGTGTTCTCTCCCATTTGCAAACAAACACTCCCTTTCCATCTCAGAACTTTTAGGACATTAACACTTTCTCGGTAATAATAACACAAAACATAATCTTCATCCAATATTGAAAATTAATATTATCTCACAATTATGTCACAGTTCTACTTCCACTGGCAGGCTGACACACTTGGAGTTCACGAGAACAGTGCATTTGAAAAGCCTCCTCAGCTCCTTGTTTTCAGGGATGGCATTTTCAGTGGAGGGTTTTTTTTTTTGTAGCCAAGGATCCAGACACGGGCCTGGATGAGGAGGGGAGCAACTGGCTGGGCAGACAGTGGTTATAATGGACCACAAACTGAATTTGAGTCAGCACAATAAAGATAATACATCACAGAAATATTTAATAAAGCTGCTTTACGTAGGACACCCCTGACAATTATCTTGCTGAACTCAGTGAAATCTCAGCTGGAATATTCTACCCATTTTCAGGTACCACATAAGAAAATAAAAGCAGATACAAAGCAACTGGAAAGAGCACAAAGAGAGCAGCAAGAATGCTGGGAGGCTGGGGAAATCCAACCTTCAGGAACAAAATGAAATGCTGGATTTGCTTAATCAATTAGGGAAAAAAAAAAAAAAGGGAAAGAAAAAAGAGAGAGCTCATGGGAAGGGATGAAATACCAACAGTCCATTTTGTCAGCAGCCAAATGTTCATGTCCACTGGAAATAAAGAGGTAATATTCTTAATTCACAGCGAGATTTGGTAAAGTAACAAAAGTGAGGTTTGAACAATGAGAACACTGTATGGGAAGTTGGAGAAAACCCTGCATTGCTGATTTCTTTAAGGCCAGGATACACAAACATCTGTATGGGATACAGATAGGCATCTCTCTTATCTCAGAGTGGGATGGGAGCTAAGGACCTCCTGATGGCTCTATGACAGATATATTTGTTATTACAGCAAATACAGGAAGGAAAAATACTGGTGGGAAAGGAATGTCTCAATTAGAAAAGTGGACTTTGAGATGAAGAACACACGGTTTTGGGCCCCTGTCACAGGCTGTCACTTCGGGAAGTTACCTGGAGGAGCTCCTCCCAACTGCCAGCTCCAGAGAGCTGAGGGAGTGTGCTAAGCACATCCCTTATGCTGATAGACAGACACACTGAGTTTAGAGTTTACAAGCCACTTCACATTAAATATTTCTTGTTTTATTAGTTTGATTTTGCCAAGCCAAACTACTTTGATAGTTCTGTTGCTCCACCGAGCTCCACCTCAGCCCACAGCAGCATGACATCACCTAACAGTGATTGTGAATAAAGTCAAACGCCGTTTCTTTTATTAAATTGCTATGTCACCTCATGTTTGTAAAATCCTAATGCAGTTTCTCCTTAAAAAAAAGGCTGTTTTGCAGAGGCTTTTTCACTGGATGTCCGTAACACTGAAAGTATCTTTCCATTCCTTGATTCCACACACCTTGCCACAGCTTTCCCTGCCTCTGGCAGGGCTTTGCACACATCAGGGCAAGCTCAAATTTCTAACAGGTTTGTGTGACACCATCCTACACCCATTCCATGGTAAATCACCTCCACTGGTGAGCAAGGCCCTGTGCAACCAGTGAGGAGTTGTTCTCTGTGTTCATAACTCCTTTCTCCTGGCCCAAGAGGCCATGCTTATTCCTTGAAGCTCCGTGGAGCTCCAGTCCTTGGACTGTGCTTGGGAAAAAATGTAGGTAATTTCTTATGCCAAGCAGAGAAGATCAGATATATACATTAAAAGAGATCCCATGACAATATCCCTGGCAAAACTGGTAGTTTTCTGTTGGAATTAATCAGAAATCTGCTCTTGCACAGGTGGCAATGGGCTCCTGCATGTTAAGGGAAGTTTTGGGTTGTGTCCTGCCCCTGCAGCTGAGCTCACAAGGGTTTCTAGGAATGCAATTTTGTCATCCTGATGTTTGGCTGCCGCTCCTGGCCGTCCCAGTTCTGCACCAGTGCCCTGTGCTATCAGTCCCTGCTAGCAGGCTACAGCCAGGAACATCACTGGGGAAACTGCTCCTGAGGAATCCCCTGCAGGAGGAGCAGGTTGATGACATCTCACTGTTTCTCTTTCTGCATTTCTTCTATTATCAAAGCAGCAAAAGCTCTGTGAGGCCAAAGGATTAAACCTTTCCACCTGTGCAACCTCACAGGAATATGCATTGTGATGGATCTCCCAAGTTTCTTCTTTGTGCAGCATTTTGAAAAAGAAGTTGCACAGGAAAAAAAAGAAAAAAAAACAAACAACCCAGCAAACAAACCCAACGGATGCCAGGAGAAAAGGAACAGTCGTTTGTCAGGTTGACCCACAGAATCCTCAAATTCCTGAGAATTCCCTGTCAACACGTTGTGAAAAGTAACATCCAGCTGAGCAGCAGAACACCACTCCATGGGATAACTGCTGAGAATATCTCGAGAGGTAAATTAATACAAGAAAGAACCAAGCACCGTGCACCCGATTAACAGTGAAAATACCTGAAATCAGCATAACAAAGTAGGGTGAGTGCACTTGTGCTCAGGATGGTTAAACAGCTGTAATTAGATCAAACAAACTAGATTGATGTATCATCCCTTTGTAGCTGTGGCCTCAGAAGGCAGGTCAGGAGCTAAGTTCAGTAAAACAGTTTTAGTACTGCAGCTTTTATCTAACAAGGCACAGCCACACACTCACTCCAAAGTAAATACTACTCAGGAGACCTGCTGAATTCCAAAGAAAAAGAGTTTCTAGGGAAGATGGCATTCTCTAATAACAACCTGAACTTCTGTCAGTAATAAAACTCACCTAATTAATTTGATACTATACCCTTTGGATAAACAGTGCACAAAATTTTGGTTGCAAATTCATTCAAGGCATTTGAAGGTTCTTTCTTGAGCTGTTCCCTCCTCACTTAAAGTGCCTGCACAGAATGGGTGAATTCTAATCTGCTTTGTTCTTTCAGAACCTTTTAATTAAATGTTAAGAAAACCGTGTAGAACGACGTTGCATGAAATATGGTCACTACCTCTCAGAGAGGAGAAAAACACAAGGTAGCAGATGGTAGGAAGAGGATACATGTGAAGAAATGTAAATAGGAGGGAACCTCACCAAATCAAAGATGTTAAGGCAGAACTGAAAGCGCCTGCAAGAGCCCTGGGAGAGCTGAGGAGACGAAGCAACAACTGAGCTCAGAGATATCAGCCTTTCCTTGCCCAGAAAGGACAGAACACCAACAGGAAGCTCTAATCTTGTAGAGGGAATGACCCTTCGTAACTAAGGGCGTCGAGATTGTTGTGGAGGGTCCTTAAAGTGGGTTTGGAAGGAGTGGGGGAAGCAAGGACAGGTGCCAACAAATATATTCATCAAACAGTCTCGGAATCAAAAAGAAACCCCTTCACTACTTCATAACTGCAAGTAATGAGGACATTATAAAAGAACTGATAGATAACCTTGTATTGAACGAAAATGAGACGAATTGTTGCAATTGGGCAGGAGACCAAGCAAAGAGCAGCTTGGGAAGTCATCAGAAGAGTTCTAACCAGCAGAAACAGCCAGAGGGTGACTCTGGGGTTAGGAGGAGGTGCAGCCTGTGTGTTACCAGTGTTGGCCCAGAAGCTGCACTCCAGGTCCTCTGAGGTGCTGTGGCTGCCCAGATTGCTGGCTGGTAGCCCCATCTTCCATGACAGAGCCAAGTAAATTAGTGAGTAGATTACGTTGTATCTGCATATCAGAGCAGTGCCTGGATGAAGACCAAGAGGGTCTTTCTAGTATTTTGATTTAAAAAGTTATCAATACTAGACCTATTCTGTCAAATGGAAGGCACCAAACACCAGAGGATATTTAAGGGTGAAGGGAGGCACAGCTCCACAAACTTCATGGAGCCTAAATCACAACTGTTCTCATTCTGTATCTCCTCCTGCCCCAAGTTCCATTTGTCTGGGTGATTTATGAGGTGAGCTCTGGCTGTGCAAGGCTTCTCTCCTTCTGAATGGAAGAACAATTCAGATAAGAAACAAATCTCTTCTGAGTGAATAGAGGAAACTGGACTTAACTGCATTGACTAAGGTATTTATTGTACATCTAGGCCAGATGAAGCTTAGCACATTTAATACATATAAAACTGCAGAATGCTGCTGGGAAGAGCAGAAAGCAAACAAAACAGACTCACAAGTTCCTTAGTAATTTAAATTAAGCCACTAAAGTAACAGAAAAGCAAGAGCGACAGATATCTAGGAATTCCAGTGGCTGATTCCAGCCACCCACAGGAACTGAGGAGCAGTTTGGGCTCTCTGGCCCCTCTGGGACAGCAAAGCTGTGATCACATAACCCCCAACGGGCAGCACTTTTGTTGAGTTCATAAATTGTCCTGAGGCTCCTTGTCATGGAAGACACTGGATATAATTACAGACCAAAAAAAAAAAAAAATACAGCTGCAACTTACAGACCTGATCCTGAGCAAGGCACGTGTGCTTTGGTGACTCAGCAGTTCGGGAGGATCATCAACACTTTGTAGACAGGAGCCCAGTGCTAAGAGAGAAATTGCAAAGAATAAATCCCTGTGGTATGACTTCAACTTACCAGTTCGGAAAAGACCACGTGCAGAACTCCGGAAACGCGGTGAAATCACAGAATTCAAAGTTCCAAGCGTAGACCCCATCATTAAGTCATCCATTTACAATTGTTGATGGCAAATCCATCTACTCCAGATGGGGAAAGGTCACTCTCTTCTTTTTCCAGGGCAAGCCTATGAATAATTTGAGTGATTAAAGCTCAAATCAGGTGTGAAAATGAAAGATCAGGAAAACATGGAAGAGAAACCACCCTCCCAAGGAGATACTCAGCTTTCCTTCTGGAATCAGCAAAGGCTCCCTCCATTCCCTACTGCCACAGAATACAGGTGAGCTCACACATTTTTTTTTTTTCTCCCAAAGAGTTGTCACTTTTAAAGGCACACTGAAATCTTATTTTTACTTTTTAGGTCTCCCTTCTTCCATCGGAGATGACCTAAATTTTGAGCTGAAGCACTCACAGCATCCTCGCTTGGAAGAGAAAACAAGAGCAAAAAAAACATCAGGCTGCGAAAAGAGGCAAAATAATAGGAGGGAAAATTACAGTGAAGACCTCCCTGAATAACTGGAGGTCACAAACGCTGCAGAAATAGATGCTGAAGTGGTGCTACCCAGAGCCAGTGGACACAAAGTGGTTGAATTTACAGAATCCTGTCAGAGGGACAGGTGGGCAGGATGTGAATCGAAGCAGTTCTGGGAATACCCAAGAGCTCTCAAAATTTCCCTTCGAATATGTCACTGTATTCTTGGTGCAAAAAATGTCACGGATGCCAAAATCCAAGAGCCTCCTGTCACAAAAAAAAACCCCCAACCAAAACAAACCAACCAAAACTTGAAAGCTTACAAGGAGTGTTCAAATGGAATTAAACAGCTATAGGAAGGGGTAGAGGGAATATTTTATATGCAATGGAGAAAAATGTATGGAAACACATATACAACCAGGTAACCAGCAGTAGAGATAATTGAACATTCACCCACCTCATTATTAACAAAAAAACTCCCCAAATGTACTTGGAGAAAAATTTATTTTGCTTTATTTTATCATCTTAAACAGCCAACAGAAACCAAGATTATAATCTGTGCCTTTTTAAAATTCCATTCAACAGATGTTCATAAGCAGACTTGAGCCAAATTTCAGCTCCCCAAAAGGATATTCAGCCCGAGAACTTTTACAAATGGATGATAAAGTCCCGCTTTTCCCCTTGTAATCATTGCTTTTCTGGGACATCAAATCCTCTCTTAGCCTCATTACAAGTTCCCACCAGCATAAAATGTATTTTTCATTTCCATTTCCTATAGTATTGTTTTCCAAAAATGGCATTTTCCAGCACAAGACAACTCTCCTTCACTCCTTTTTTATGTCATCTCCTCAATACGAAAGGATCATCTTAGTGACAAGGCTCTGTTCTTTTAAAAAGATGAAAAAAAAACCCCCTCAACTGGTATTAATAAATATTTACTTAATGTAAAGAAAAGGGAATTCAATAGTTAAGGATTAAAACTACAGGGGGGTGAAAAAAAAAGGTGTTTGGAAAAGCGAGGCTGTAAGAAGTTCAGTGCTGTTTATGAGAATGACTGTTCAATGGCTCCTTCTGGGACACAGTGAGATGACTTCTTTAAAAGTATGGTCTAGAAATACCCCCAAATCACAGAAATTATAAGTCACTCGAGGATTTCAGATGCAATACGAAATTAAGAAATATCAGGACACATAATGAAAATGGTGGAATGAAAACAGCATCGCACTGACTTGTCTGTGTTAAAAGGAGAAGGGGGGGGCTGAAGTGAAAGGTTTTATTTTTACTTAATTACTCTCAGTGTTCCCTGGGGACTCCTTCCAAAGCATATTTTGCATTTGGACCTAAATGCAAGCAGGATTCAGCCTTGATCTTATTCCTTATGACAATATGTTTCTTAAATTAGAAGTCCCACAACTGGAATGTTGACACCACTGCTGGTACCTCCAGCACCTCAGAGGCTCTTCTGTGCTATCAATCTGTTAACCTGGGAAGCAGAGGGGAAAACATTGTTTAAAATAAAAAACAACAATCCAGAAAATCATATTTCGTAAGCTTATAGCACCTTTCATCCAAGGATTTCAATGGACGTGGAAATACGAAGTCTCAAAATGCTTAAAAAAAACCCCGCCAAACCCACCCAACTTTAAGGTATTTTGAAAGGATAATGTATAAATTGAGTGAGCATCCACCTGTGATGCGATTTAAGAGTCTCCTACTGCAGCATTTCACACATATTCAATCCACCTTCTGGTTACAGCGTGCAAGTTTGTGGTATGTAGAAGGAACAGCAGAGCTGGTTAAAGATTTTCTCTTGCTTCACATACTCTGCAAGCTTCTCATTAACTCATACATGACTTTAATCAGTGCTGAAGCACACACTTCCTTCAGCATGCAGGACTGGGCTGGGAGGGAAAAAATCCTCAATAAAATATTATTGCAACCACGAATTAGTAAAGAAAAAAAGCAACATTTTCCTAAAGTGGCTCCTGATTTTCATCTCTAAAGGGTTAAACCGACCTTCACCGATCCAGAAGAGGTAATAAAATAGAACTTTAAGGACAAAAACGCAGCACTTCAAGAGATTATTATGAAGAGCCACATTCAAGGAGACAAAACCTTATTCTTAAAGCACAGATGCTTCTAAAAACAAGAGATCGCACGTTTTTAACAGCACACTGCCAAGCGCTTATAATGAATAAGCAGAACGAGGGTGTTTTTTTTCTCTTTTTCGTTTTTTTTTTTTTTTTTTTTTTTTTTTTTTTTTTTTTTTTTTTTTTTTTTTTT